CCCCAAAACCCCAAAACCCCAAAACCCCAAAACCCCATACCCAAAAATAATGATTGAAGATATAATAATTAAAATGGAAAGCCTTGATGGTAACGTTCTGTATTACTCCTTAAACCAGGATCAGGATTGTCTAGCTGTGGGTACTTCACAAGGATACAGAATTTATAATTTACAAAGTTGTAAGCTAGTATCATCATACGACGAGGCTCCTGTAGGGATTATCGAGATGTTATATTCAACAAATCTTCTAGCTCTAGTAGGCTCAGATATGAGCAATGTTCACCTTAGTCCAAAGAGATTGACTATCTGGAATAGTAATAGCTCAGCAGCTATTTGTGAGATCTCATTTGCTTACAAGATCACAGCTGTAAAGATTAATAAGTCTCGACTGATTATTTGTGTTAAGGATAAGATCCATATTTACGACCTGAGAGACACAAGGATTCTTGAATCTCTTTTTGTCAAGAACAATCAGCTTGGAAGGCTCGTCCTCTCTCCGAACAACACTGAGAATTGCTTCTTGGTCTATACAGATTCGATTACTAAGGGAATTGTGAAGGTGTACGATGCTTGGAATATGAGGCAGTCAACCACGTTCGAAGCTCACCAAAGTCCTATTCTGAAGATGAGTATGAATTATGAAGGAAATAAACTTGTGACCACATCTTGTAAAGGCACAATGGTCAGAGTATTCTCCTTGCCGAAGGGGGACAAGTTATACACTTTCAAGAGGGGTACCTCCAACTGTATGGTTTATTCACTAAATTTCTCAAGACAAGGGAACCATATCATTTTGTCATCTGAAAATGGCACGATCCACTGATTCAGTCTTCCCAAGAAGGATAGGGATGAGCTTGAAGACGAGGATGATTCAATGCAAGAGGATTTTGAAGAGAGTGATCCTAGCTTAATCAAGGATGAAGTTAAAGAATGTAAGGTTTGTAGCATTGGCTCTTGGATTCAAACCCTTCTTCCGATCAACTACGATGAGCTGATGTCTAGCAAGAAATCAAGAGCCAAGCTTACCAGCCATGACTATGAATTTCCGAATATTTGTTGTATGGATAGAGAGGAGAAGCATATTACAATGTTCATGAAGAGAAAAGATTTTAAGAGGTTTGATTTTAGAGAAGGCAAAATTGAAGAGGATAATGAATTTGAACCTGAATAATAGTGCTGATATCGACTCAATTATTACTTCTCAATTAACACTTTTATCCAAGGGGTTTTGGGGTTTTGGGGTTTTGGGGTTTTGGGG